GGAGGGCTGAACTTCCTAAAAAAGTAGAAAGTAAAGGCAAGGGATAGTGTGCAATTAAAGGGCAAACCAATACCATGCATTTTACTCCTTAGCAAAAAAGCTGAGGAAAACAGAATGGCCAGAAAGTACAGAGAGAAGTCAGGAGAAGCAAGTGCTTTCTCCTCTTCGGTATTTCAGCAGACCCTCTTCCCTTCATAAACTGGGATGAATTCAACTCTCTGCTTTCTCTAGCCTTGGCTCCAGTTGCCCGGTCTTGTAATAGAAAATGTGGCAGTAGTAAGGGCTGAGTACCCCTTACCCAAAATACTTGGACCAGAAGGGTTTCAGTCTTTTGTGGATTTTGCAATATTTGCATATACATAATGAGCTATCTTAGGGATGGAACTGAAGCCTGAACATGAAATTTATCTGTGTTTCNGGATTTTGGAATATTTACATATACATAATGAGATATCTTGGAGATGGGGCCCAAGCCTAAACAAGAAATTCATTTGTGTTTCATATACACCTTATACACATAGCCTGAAGGTAATTTTATGCGATATTTTTTTTAACAATTTTGTGCCTGAAATAAACTTTGTTTCAGGCACAAAATTGTTAAAAAAATATCGTATAAAATTACCATAAGCAGGCAGATCGACTGCTTGAGACCAGAGTTTGAGACCAACCTGGCCAACATGGCAAAGCCTCGTCTCTGCTAAAAATACAAAAATCAGAAATCAAGTGTCAGGTGTGGAATTTTTCACATGTTGTGTCATGCCTGTACTTAGAAAGTTCTGGATTCTGGAGCACTTCAGATATTGGATTTTCGGATTAAGGAAACTCAACCTGCATTTTAAAATAGCATTTTCGGCTGTGCGCAGTGACTCATGCCTGTTGTAACCCCAGCACTTTGGAAGGCTGAGGTGGGTGGATCACCTGAGGTTAGGGGTTCAAGACCAGCCTGGACAACATGGTGAAACCCTGTCTCTACTAAAAAATACAAAAATTAGCTGGGCAGGGTGGCCTATAATCCCAGCTACTCGAGAGGCTGAGGCACAAGAATCACTTGAACCCAGGAGGGGCAGATTGCAGTGAGCCAAGATCGTACCACTGTACTCTAGCCTGAGCGATAGAGCGAGACTCCATCTCAAAATAAAATAAAATAGCATTTTCATACTAAATACTGCATTGTACTTACAAGCTTAAGACTCCTAACCTCAGCTGGCCCCTCAATGCAGTTCAGCAATCTATCTCATAAATTCTTGGCTTCCTACATTGGCCCATCCCCAAACGACCAAAGCTTTCCAACCCTTTCCCATTATCCTTCAGCTTTCCACCCAACCTCTGCAGTCCTTCTGCATGTGCAGATAAACCTGCTTCACAGACAAAATAGCTCCCAACATTCAAACACTCCTTTTACATTCTGTGCCTGGGAAGAGGCCTCATCCTTAACTGCCTTCCTGTCTCAGAGAAGGGGAGTCATTTTTCGTCACCTGCACTCACCTAATAGCCATCCCTACAGCCCTGGACACCACCCAGTCCCTTCCCCTTCTCTGGAATCTGCTCTATCTGTTAGCCCTTCCTTTCTTTATCTTCAGGCTCTCCCTGTCCAGGGACTTTTTTTCCTGTAAGTGTATAAACATGTTCAACTTACTTTTGCCATCCAGGCAACCATCAAAAGCTATACTCCCGCCTCTTCAGTCCCTTTGCTGACCAAAATGGCAATTTATCCAAACAGCTTCACCTAACTCTACTTTCACTAATTTCTCAATCCATCCTAGCTCATCTCTTCTATCTCCTCTTCACTAGCCCATGCCTTACTGAACCTACTCTAATTTAGATACCAATGATCTAAATGCCAAAAAAAAAAGCCTGCTTTCTCCTCAGTGGCTGATACTTGTGGAAACTTTTTATCCTTAACGGTGTTGAAAACACTTTTTCTCCTCCTTCTCTTCCCTTCTCTTCTCTTCTCATTTTACCTGTACTCTTTTCTGCCTACTTCTTAAATACCTAAAGGAGCCATACTTGACACTCATACTCTACAAGCATGCTCTGGAGACCACCATCCACTTCCATACATGATACTGCCTACATTCTTATTATCCTAAATTTATTCCTCTAGCCACAAACTCTCTCAAAAGCACCAAAGTCACATCTTTTCAACTGCCTAGAAAAAACATTCACCAGCAAGCACCTCAAACTGTAACAGGTCAAAAATCTTCCCCCTGCCCCCGCCCTTCCCCACCAAACCTAGTCCTCCTTTCAGGTAACGGCATGACCAGGCACCCAATCTCCCAAGGTAGAAAACTTAGGGTCATCCTTGAATTGCCTTTCTTCCTCACACCCCAGCCTCTTTCATCTATCATCAAATCTCATCCATTTTACTTCATAATCTCTTGAATGCAGCTACCTCTCTGTCCCCTTTACTATTAATGTACTTCAGATCTTCATCTCATATGTGAATCATTTCAACAGTTCTCTACTACTAATCTCTCCCTGACTTAGTCTTACTCCACATACCAGGATTATTGTCCTAAAATAATTTCAAAATTGAAACGGGATACCATATTTTTCTCTACCAGACTGGCAAAAACTAAAAAGAAAAATAATACTCTGTATTGGTTAGAGTGTGGGGAAACGAACATTCCCATAAACTTGATGAGGGGAATATTAAGGCAAAATACCAAGGGAATTTAACCAAACTTGAAGCATAACCAAACTTGCAAATACGTAGACCCTTTGATCTACCAATTCTATTTCCACGAATTTATTTTAAGGAATAAAATAGAATGTACACAGGATCTATAAGTATATCCTTAAGTTCCCATCAATATCAGTGAAGGCTAGAACCTTTTTTTTGTTTTTAACATACTATACTATTTGCCTGGAATGTCTTTCTGCCACCCATACCCTCCTACATCCTCTAAAACTAGAATTCATCCTTGATTTCAAAAGTCAGCTACTCCATCCGGTCTCCATGGCAGTTTAGTCACACCTCTGAATCACACTACAAACTTCTCTCCCACAGCAGATCATAAGCTCTCCAGGGATATGGTTTTATGTATGTATTTATTTAGCATGCCTCTGTATCTATGCTACCTACAACAATGTCTCACACATTAAGGGTCCAATAAACATGTGTTGAATAAAGGCATTTTCTTCCTCTTTCCACAAAGAATTCTTTTTCAAAATCTCAAGGAGTTTTCAAAGGAGTTTCAAAATCTCAAAGAAGTTTCCTAAAATGCTGGTTGACTTCAATATATTAATGCTATATTAAATTCCTGCATTAAAACAGGTATTCAAGCAAAGCAAATATTCTTGTAAATTTATAAATAGTCTAAATCCTTTATATTTGAAGTTTAATTCCTTAAGGCATAATAATTTCCATACTGGGTCAAAGCCGTGGCCTAGCCAACCTAGAATTTTATCTCTGAAAGTGGTACCAACGAATATGTTGTAAGAAGATAACAGCTGTCCTTGCAGATGCTAAGATAAACATTTAAAGGTATGCTTCAAAATACTTTACTTTTCTCCAATAACCTAGTATGAATTCATCATACTTGATACCATGTTTTGGAATCATGCTTCATACTACGAAATCATGTTTCATACTCTTCATGTTATCTGTTATATAGTATTTTACATAAGTACATAAGTATTACATAAACAGTACTGTGTATCCATATTCAAGAAAATAAGTAGCAGCACAGTGTCTGACACCTGTAATCCCCGCACTTTAGGAGGTCGAGGCAGGCAGACTGCCTGAGCTCAGGGATTCGAGACCATGCTGGGCAACATGGCAAAACCCCATCTCTACTAAAAATACAAAAAATTAGCTGTACACGGTGGTATGCACCTACAATCCCAGCTACTCAGGAGGCCGAGGCACAAGAATCACCTGAACTCAGAGCGCAGACGTTGCAGTGAGCCAAGATCGTGCCACTGCACGTCAGCCTGGGCGACCGGGCAAGACTCTGTCTCCAAAACAAATAAACAAAAAGAATATAAGTAGCTTGGTTAGACTTCTTTTTTCCCCCCAAGTTGAAGTCCTTTTAGGTTTCAAGAGGGTTCATTAATTCTAATAAAGGTTGATAAAAGCCTAATCACATCCTTCATGATTCCAAAGTTCAGTCGGTTCTATCCCTTTCAGCATTTTTGTTTTGTTTTGTTTTGAGGAGTCTTGCTCTGTCGTCCAGGCTGGAGTGCAGTGGCACAATCTTGGCTCATTGCAACCTCTGTGTCCCAGGTTCAAGTGATTCTCCTACCTCAGCCTCCTGAGTAGCTGGGATTACAGGTGCCCGCCACCACACCCGGCTAATTTTTTTTATTTTTAGTAGAGACGGGGTTTCGCCATGTTGGCCAGGCTGATCTCAAACTCCTGACCTCAGGTGATCCACCTGCCTCGGCCTCCCAAAGTGCTGGGATTACAGGGGTGAGCCACCATGCCTGGCCTCAGCCTTTGTCTTTCTAAACTGAAGAAATCTCACTGTCCTCTTGTGTCCTTATATAGAAACAACTCTACTCTGCATCATTTCACTTTCTTTTTTTTTTTTTTTTTTTTCCCCTAAGACAAAGTCTCACTCTGTTATCCAGACTGGAGTACAATGGCATAATCTCGGCTTATTGCAACCTCCGCCTGCTGGGTTCAAGTGATTCTCCTGCCTCCTGAATAGCTGGGACTACAGGCATATGCTACCACACCCGGCTAATTTTTGTATTTTTAGTAGAGATGGGGTTTCACCATGTTGGCCAGGCTGTTCTCGAACCCCTGGCCTCAGGTGATCCATCTACCTCAGCCTCCCAAAGTGCTGGGATTACAGGCGTGAGCCACCACACCTGGCCTTACTTAATTTTCAGTTATCTTGTAGCCTCCAAACTAAAACAACAATGTAGGTAGGTCTATGAGATTTACTTTAATTTTATATACATTTAAAATCAAGAAAATTTTACCCCTGATATAAATTAGGAAAGGCAGCCTTCGAAAACACCTTTGACAATCACTGTACCCCAAGACTTACAGGAAATCATAAGGTAGTCCTCACAGTTGCCTTTGTCATCATCTTGCTGGTCCACAGGGATCCCATTGGCATCTATGACTGCTTCAGAGGCACAGTCTGCTACCAATACTTCTTCTGAAACTACGTCGGTGGTCAGAGGATCCGTGACAATTTCTGCTTCTACTACACTGTCATGAACCACATGTTCAACATGTCCAACATGTCCAACATCAGACACATGTATAGATTCACTCGTCAAGACGTGTTCTGGCATAGACATCGAGGCTGAAGTAATGTCAGAAGCTAAAACATCATCTGGGACGGTGCAATGTGCTAAAGAAACTTCTTCAGTTACATCTGAGTCCAGCACTTGCTCAGGAATGATGACTGTTTCAGATACATCTGCTTCTTCCATGATATCTGGGCACTGAACATCTTCTATAACAACGTCCTCAATAACATCTTGGATTACAACCGAATCTGGGTCATCAGGAACAAAGTTATGCACAGTTATGTCTGAATCCACAACATCTGAAACAAAAACAGTTTCTTGTACTTCCACAACAATTTGATCACCATCCATGTGTGTACCATCAGCTCCTTAAAAAAATAAAAATTAAAATGACAAATTTCAGGTAAGTATGCATGATGACAATTAATGTAAATGTTACTTGATTTCTACTGGGAAAACGGACTGGCTCCTCAGTTTTCTTAAACATTAACAAAGGTTAAAGAAATAAAGAGGGAATCTATTTTTGAATCATATTAGAAAGATGTTTTTAACACAAGAACTTTTCAATCATCCCAAATCAATGAATAGATTTTTTTTAATTAGGAGAACAAAGCAACTGAGGCAGTCACAGAAGAACTATATTCATGAAAGTAAAATTCTAGGCACACTAATAAAATCCATATACAGCCAGGTGCAATGGCTCACGCCTGTATTCTCAGCACTGGGAAGCCAAGATGGGCAGATGACTTGAAGCCAGGAGTTTGAGACCAGTCTGGGTAACATTGCGAAACCCCATCTCTATTAAAAATACAAAAATTAGCCCGGGTGTGGTGGTACAAGCCTATCCCAGCTTCTTGAGAGGCTGAAGCAGGAGAATTGCTTAAACCCGGGAGGCGGAGGTTGCAGTGAGCTGAGGTGGTACTGCTGCACTCCAGCCTGGGTGACAGAGCAAGACTCTGCTGAAAAGAAAAAAAAAAGTCCATATACATAGGTACTTAAGGGAAGATTATAAAAATTAAGTAACGCAACTTCAGGTGACAAATATACTGTTTTCCCTGGGTATATGTGTTTTACCTTTTTGCTCCACCTCCCTCTCCTCAACTCATATTTGTTCTTTTCATCTCTCCTATGTGTTTTACTTTTACTTTTTTTCCTTTCTCCCTTCACATGCTTCCTTTTTTGCTCTGGTGCATTATACCACCAATATGCTCCATGTACAGCTACAGAAATTTAGCAATCATCCTCTGAATCTAGGACATACAAGGATCAGAGGATAAATTAAAAGAGGGACAAAAGGCCACAGTTGAGGAGGAAAGACAACTGGGTTGAGGAGGCTCTGGGGACAGATAGGATAAATACAAGTGCAGCTGTGCTGGGATGGTGGAGGGTGAGAGTAGTTGCAGCGGGAGCTGCCCCTACTTCAGCAGGGTACACTGCCTCCATCTAGCCTCCTTCCGTTCCCCTAGATACCAACTCCCAAGGCAGTCACATAGGAAACTCTAGTCAATTTTGCAGTTAAGGAATGAAGGTAGAGGATTCAATCAATTGAAGCCCAGTGAGATTAAATGACTTCACCAAGATCACACAGTTTGCACAGTGTATGGCGCTCAGAAAATATTATTCTGAATGAATGTCACAAATGGAAATAGAAATCATATATCCTTTCCAAAAATATAAGATAAAATAAACAAAATATCTTGGCTTCTGTTCTAGAGAAAAGTAAAGAAAGTTTTACAAAAGCCTTACCTAAATAGCTATTCAGTAGATTAGTGCCTCTGGTTGACTCAGACCAGGCTGCGTCCAACCAGGTGCCTAACTCAATGACTATGTGTCACTGGACAGGCCCTTAGAGAAACACATAGCTTAATCAACAAACAAAAATGATCAGGCCCAGCACAGCAGCTCATGCCTGTATTACCAGCACTTTGAGAGGCCAGGTGATGTCAGGGGTTCAAGACCAGCCTGGCCAACATGGTGAAACCCCATCTCTACTAAAAATATAAAAATTAGCCAGGCATGCTGGTACATGCCTATAATCCCAGCTACTCGGGGGGGCTGAGGCAGGAGAATCGCTGGAACCCAGAAGGTGGAGGTTGCAGTGAACCTTGACTACACCACTGCACTCTAGCCTGGGCAAG